CAGCCACAGCTCCTCCGGTTTGTCCGGCACTGGAAGCACAGGAGGACGGGGTCACACAAGGAGGGCCTGAGCCCAGAGCAGGGTGCAGGCAGCCCCTGGCCTACGGCACAGGCTGCAAAGGGACCCCCCCCAGCAGCGTTTGTCCCCCACAAAGGCTGCATGTGCCTCAGCAGCAGCAATGGTGAGTTGAGGAACGAGAGAGTGAGGAGGGGACAAGCTGTGCTCCAGGACGCTGCACAGCCCCTTCCCCAGAGCCCCACAGGCTCCAGAGAGCCCCAACCCCAGGACCATCAGTGCAGGGAGCGGACGATCAGGCTGAGCTGCTGGGCAAGAGGACATGTATCCACCTCCCCTACCTGTGACACAGCCCAGGACTGCCCCTTCTCTCCTATACTCCTGTGCACATACCTGTTTCCTCTGTCCTGACCAGCCATGTGAAAAGGATTGTGCTGGGAGGCAGGGAGATGGTGACACTGTAGTCAGTGAAGGGCTGCAGGGGGGGACAGGTGAATGTTCCCTCCTGGCCATGTAGCATCTCCTCTCCCTTCACCTCTTCAGCCTCACAGGGAGGGGAGGAAGACATTGCCAGACGGCACATGGCCTGCATGCGCTGGCAGGCATCAGGGAGCCTGCAGGTCCAGTTCAGTTTGATACTGGTGCTGGAAGTCTCCAAGGTCCCGGGGACAACCTGGAGGACCTCTGTGAAGGAAACATTGCAAGAGGGTCACTTCCTTCCCTTCCCCTCCCAGCCTTGCAAGGGTGCTGCGGTCAGACAGCCCTGCTCCCCACCCAGCTGGGAGGGAGGGAAAGCAAGAGGCTAAAATTGGTCACTCCACCTCTCTGGTAGGGGAGCACAAGGAGTTTGGACAGGAATGAATGTAGGTGAATGTGTTCTAAACAGTCCTGAAGATGCAGCTCTTAAAAAGACCTAGATGTTTTCTGCTCTGCATAGACCCCAGGAGAATGTTAGTTTTCCCTGGCAATACAGCGAGACATAGAGCTCCAGGACACTATACGGAGTAGTCCTACACCACACCCTCAGGAAGGGGCTGAGGACAAGAAGGGCCTCGCACTGCTTCCCCCAGACCTCCCAGGAAAGGCCAGGGGGAACAGGAGGGCAAGGGACTGGGGCACCCATGAGGGGCTCATACTATGCACAAAGCTTGCACAGTGACTGATGGACCAGCATTTGATCCTGGTGCCTTGTGGCATCACCTGAGAAGCCAGGGCCATTTCATGCATTAGGAACCTGCCACATGAAGTTGGCAAAGCTCCCAAGGGGACCAGGTGGGGCACCCTGAAAGCTTGGGCGACGCATGGAACTATCCCCAGCGTGGGGGTGTCACAGTAGAAGCATTCCCTTCTCCTCCCACAGACCTCCCCACACCACCCATGCTCACAGCTACCTGCAGGGAACCAGCCCTGAGACTTCTTGCTATGGCCCAGGTCCCAGGGCACTTGGTGAGCTGGGGAGCAGCAGAGGACTACTGTTTTCAAAATTTCAGGGACCTCTCAGCAGGTTCCCAAATCAGCCCACTATTGCCCTGTTCTCCCTTGGAAGGGACCTCAGTGTCTCAAGTTGTGAGAAAATGGTGCCAAGCCTGTGCCCACCATGACACAGAGCCAGGAAGGGACCAGCCTCTGGGGAGCAAGCTGTGATACACACAGCTGCATGGTCTGAGAGGACACAGGCAGCAGAGCCCTCTGATCCCCCTGCCCCAAGTGTGATGGCATGCAGAACACAAACTCGATGATACATAGCTCTCCCATGCTTCTCTCCTTTCTTCACATGCTGTTGCCAGAAACCTTCAGGGAGATGCTTCGGCAAGAACCTCCCACCCACTGGTGAACTGCAGGCTGAACTCAGGGCAGGCTCAGGGGCTGCCTCCACACAGCCTTCAGCAGCACCCACTATTTCCCCAGGCAGCCAGAGAGCCCAAAACCTCCTGTGCACTGAGACCTCCTGTGCACGCACAACCTGCCTTCCTCTGCTGCTGCTCAGCAAGGGGAGGGCAGAGTGGGGCAGCCAGGACAGCTCCAGATGCCTCCCTTACCAATGCACTCCACGCTGGACGGAATGCGGACCCAGCCACGTCTGCTGTCCCGTCCACGCCAAACTTCTCTGTAAATAGGTTTCCCATGACTGAGGGACTGGACTTCCCTCACACATTTGACACGGGCGAAGGACGGCTGGAAACCATCGATGCAACTCAGCATCACTTCTTCGTCCTTCTTGTAATTCTGCTGGTCTGGTGCCAGCTGGAGTCTGGAGTCCCACTGGGGTCTTTGGCACATTTCTGGCAGAGGTGAAAACGGCTGTTATTTGGGCTGGGAGGTGAGGAGGAGATGTGGCAGGGGTAGGTGGTGGGGTATCAGCAATCCCCAGGGATCCCTACGGACACTGGAGGGAGAGGGAAGGTGACACATCCATTTGCCATGCCATGAGCCTCCAGCAAGGCTTTTCAGGAGGGCATCCTCCTTGAGCGCCTGAAGCGTGAAGGATCGCTCATCCTTGGACCTCCTGCATCCACCCACTTCTGTCCATGGACACACTTAGACGTCCACCACAGCCCACAGCAGGCAGTTTCCCAGGACTATCAGCCCTGCACTAGGAGAACCCCTCCAGCCACTCATTCAGACATGTCACACACCCCAGCTAAGGCTGCCCTTGATGGGCCACGGTCCACCAGCCCTGCTGGGGTGCATGTCTCTCCTCCCATGGATCATCCCTCCCACAGGGCTCAGAGATGCCCTGATACACTTCTGGGGTCCCTGTGCTGGCTCAGTCAGTCCCTCCGCTACTCTCCTCCTTCCCCACACCACTGTGCAGTGGGACGTGGGGATGAGCAATGCCTTCTCCATTCCTGTCCCCTGCTTTACCACAGCCCCTGCCCATTTTCCCTGCCACAAGGCCTGTTCCCTCCTCCACGTCCCCTCCTCACCACATTCACCATCCTCTGGGCTGAGCAGGCACAGCCTGTCCCAGGAGTTTGCCGAGTGCCGCATGGGGAGGCTTTGTGGCAATGATTCCTCCAGGCGGGATGCTGGCACCTGGGAAGGAGCGCTTCCCTGTTCCAGCCTCTGCAAGGGGCTCTGGGAGGCCTCAAAGTGCTTAAAATACAAACTTTCTTCTCCCAAAGGGGCAGAGAAGGGATCTCTCAAGGTTCAGACCACCTTCAGAACAGCCAGGAAAGTACAGACATGCTGGCGATCAAGCCACTTTGGGTCAGGCCTTGCTCTCAAGCAACCCTGGTTACAGAAGGCAAGAGATGCCCGGCTGAGCACCGCAACCAGCAGCTGCGTCCACTGACACACAGCCACGACCTACCCCACGCACAGGCACCCAGCCGCTCCCCACGCCCAGGCCCATCTAGCTGGCAAAGCGGCAGCAAGCTCCCTTTTGAGCTGCTCTCAGCAGGCACAGTGTCCCTTGGGCACACCTGGGGATAGGATGTGTACAGGCAGCGGTAGCCCTGCTCCCTGAAGACCCTTCCCCTGACTCATGATGCATGAACTCGTGCCTGGTTCACACCTGCAGCCCCCAGGGAACAACTGGCAAACTGGCTGGGTGCAGGGCATGACCCATCCCCAGCCATCCTGCCCAATCCTGTCCTTCCCACAGCACCCCCAGTGCACCCACACCAGAGCTCTTGCCCCTGGGGTCTCCCAGAGGCAGCAGCCACCCCAGCTGGCACAGCCCTCAGGGCTCTGCCACAGCTCCAGCCCAGGGCTGTGTGCAGTCAAGTTGCACATCAAGCTTGCAGGGGAAGGAGCAGCAAAATCTCTCCAGGGCAGAGGAGGAGCCTCTTCTTACCTGTTTCCCAGGGATCAGGTTCTTCCCGGCCCTGTGCTGCCAGCAGAGATACGAGCACCAGGAGAAAGCTCAGAGCTAGCAACTGCAGGGCCATGCTACCATGAAGTCACCAGGCAGGAACTGAAATCTCAGCCCCACTCGCTGCCTCTGAGCCCAGGAGTCTGTAACTGGCTGCAAGACTTGCAACCACAGGAAGGAAAGACACATGGGGAAACCTCATGAGATACAGGAGGCTTCCTCTTTGGGGAGGGAACCTCCCATCAGTGTCAGCGCCACTGCCTTTGGCTGCCTTTTTTCCCCAGGCACATCCAGGCTCTGGTACTCAACAGAAGAACCCCTGTCACTGGGATCCCAGAGTCTCCCCCCAAAACCCTCCTTGTTACCAGGGTGCATTCAAGAAGCGCCGCTCCCATTTCTCAGGCAATATCCATGTGCTTCCCAACAGGTACGCTCTGCCCGCCCCTCCCTATGAAGATCGGCGTTTTTAACACAGTGATCACCACCTTTTCATGCCTCATTTCCGCGACTTTTGTGCCCCACCGTGCCCTCGGGCACACGCACCCCTGGGTGCAGGCAGCAGAGCAGGCAGGGCCCTCGGTCAACAGGCAGGGCCCACAGCCAGCGAGGCGTCTTGGCTCAGAGAAGCTTCTGGATCATGACTGATGGTGACCACAGCTCAGATCCGCCCAGGATATAAATGGGGTGCCGCTGGAGACCCCCTTGGAGTGGTCTTCTCGGAGCAATGGGTCTGTGTTTTGAACCCTCTCCCCTTGGGTTGGGATGCTGCCCGAGGAAACTTCCCAGGATTGAGTGCCCTCACCTCCTTTTGGTGAGTGATTTCCTTCTGGACAGATCCTTGAGGGACCCCTCGCCCCTTCCCCTGGGCAAGCGATTGCATATTCTGGGTACCCACAAGAGAGAGTTTCCCCTTGTGAGTGAGGGTGTGCACGCACCTTGGATCATCCTTCTTGTGTGTGTTGACATGTGGTAACGATATCCCGACTGACACCTCGAACCTGTTATGTGTTATATGTTATCAGAGTGTTGATTTTTGGTTTACCCCTTTTTCTCACAGTTTTGTGTTGTGTGGCTTTGGCTGTCTTGTGAACTAAAGTTGTTTGAGCTTGTCCTTCTTTTGGGTTCGTCTTAGCGTACCTGCATGACAATGGAGCTTGCCAATGTGATGCCCATCTATAAGAAGGGCCAGAAAGAGGATCCGGGGAACTACAGGCCTGTCAGCCTGACCTTGGTGCAGGGGAATATTGTGGAACAGTTCATCTTGAGTGCGCTCAACAGGCATGTGCAGGTCAACCAGGGGATCGGGCCCAGCCAGCATGGGTTCATGAAAGGCAGGTCCTGCTTGACCAACCCGATCTCATTCTATGACCTGGTGACCCACCTGGTGGATGAGGGAAAGGCTGTGGATATCATCTACCTGGATTTCAGGAAAGCCTTTGACACCATCTCCCACAGCATTCTCCTAAGGAAGCTGGCGGCTCACGGCTTGGACGGGCATACTCTTCGCTGGGTAAAAAACTGACTGGGTGGCCAAGCCCAGAGAGTTGTGGTGAATGGAGTTAAATCCAGTTGGCGACCAGTCATGAATGGTGTTCCCCAGGGCTCTGTTTTGGGGCCTGTCTTGTTTAATATCTTTATCAACGATCTGGCTGAGGGGTTTGAGTGTGCCCTCAGTAAGTTTGCAGATGACACCAAACTGGGTTGGAGTGTCGATCTGCTGGAGGGTAGGATGGCCCTGCAGAGGGATGTGGACAGGCTGGAAAAACGGGTAGATGTGGCACATTGGGACGTGGTTTAGTGGGCATGGTGGTGTTGCGCTGATGGTTGGACTGATGATCTTAGAGATCCTTTCCAACCTTAATGATTCCTAGTTTTTACTTTCATTAAAAAATAATCCAGCTACGAAGCCAGGAAACATGAAATTATTACTCTACGCTTAACTGGTTTAGTGGTGGACTTGGTAATGTTAGGTTAATGGTTGGACTGGATGAACTTAAAGGTCTTTTCCAACCTAAACACTCCTACGATTCTATGATTCTATGACACCACTGCGTGGGTTTTAGAGCTGTGATGATTCCCTGTACTTCCCCTCAATGATCACAGGAGATGGAGGACCTTTGAGAAAGCGCATAAAGAGCGGGCAAGAAGCAGGGATAGGAACGGGGATATGAACAGCAGGCAGTACCTCAAGGCCTGAAACAGTCCTTGGCCCTGCGGAAGGACATACTGAACCCACACCCTCTCTCATTCTCCCCTGCTCGTCCATCCCCAGCTGCCTTCTCCTCCTCCTCCCCCTCCACCTGGCAGCACTCTCTTCTGTCCCCAGCTGTGCAGACCACCCTGCTCTCCAGTGCAGCTGAGTGCCTGAAGAAACCCTCAGAGCTACTAAACCACCCGCCTTGCTCCTCAGCAGCTCCTGCTTCTATTCTTCCTCCAGAACCTCCCATGGGCCCACCTGGGATGTCTCAGATCCCAGAGGGATCAGACACGGGGGCTGTGGAGGAGCAGAGACCATGCTTGTCCCTCCACTTTGCCCATGGCGCACGCACAGGACACGCTCCTGCCCAGGACGTATTGGGAGAAGCACCACCACTCGCTGGTTCCCAGCACACACCCCATCCAAACGCACGTCAGAGCT